TTAGTCGAAAAAAGGCGTGGGGGGTGAAAATGCAAAACAACCCCCCAACCACTATTGCGATGTAATGAGAAGCTTCCCTGTGCCAAATGCGACTTGTAGGGACAGATGGTACGCAAATAGGATATGTAAGTTGGGAGTTAGAGTTGAAAATGCCATAAACTTAGTCGAAAAAAGACGTTCGGGGGACGAAAATACAAAACAGCCCCCCAACCATTGTTGTGATGTAATGGGAAGCTTCCCGGTGCCAAATGTGATCTATAGGGATAGACGGTATGTAAATAGGACATGTAGGTTGGGAGTTAGAGTTAAAAATGTCATAACCTTAGTCGAAAAAAAGCGTTCGGGAGGTGAAAATTCAAAACAACGCCCTAACCATTGTTGTGATGTAACGGGAAGCTTCTTGGTGCCAAATGTGACCTGTAGGGACAGACGGCACGTAAATAGGACACATAGGTTTGCAATTAGAGTCGAGAATGCCTTAAACTTAGTCGAAAAAAGGCGTTTGGGGGGCAAAAATGCAAAACAGTGCCCTAACCATTGTTGTGATGTAACGGGAAGCTTCTCGGTGCCAAATGTGATCTGTACAGACAGACGGCACATAAATAGGACACGTAGGTTAGCAATTAGAGTTGAGAATGCCAATGCAAAACAGCCACCTAACCACTGTTGTGATGTAACGGGAAGCTTCCCGATGCCAAATGTGACCTGTAGGGACAGACGGTACGTAAATAGGACACGTAGGTATGTAAATAGGAATTCCCCTGCTTCTCTCTCTCAATTTGTTAACTGAATCTATGCTTGTCTATTTTCACTTCTTCTACTACTATCTCTATCTACGCATTCTATATATGTTTGTCTATGTTTTTTATTATTAATCTGGTTTTCTTCGATCTGTGTTTGATATCCATGTGATTTTGCTATTCGAAATGCGACTGTCGATAAGCTATATGAAGTATTTAACTACTGATGTGAAATCGAAGTAAGTTTTATAGGAATTTGATTGAATTAGGTTTAGAATCAAAGCTGTATATCAATGTCCTCATTTTGTATTTTGATCTAATATACTCTGTAAGAGAACATTTCCTGAAATGTCTCTTTTCCTTGCTTTGTGATCATTTTTAAAGCGTTTCAATATATTATTTAGTATTTCTTCTTTTGAAAATCCATGATTTTTGAAAATCATGAAATATTGCAGTTTCCCCCTAATATATATATATATATGTATGTATATATATAATTTTAGAAAACAAAAACAGAAACAGACATCTGGGTGTTAACAGAAAATTATTGGAAAAATAAAAACAAATAAATAAAGTGAAGAGACAAAAGATTATTACTAGAACAAATATTCAATTATAACTGATTAATATTGATGGTGAAATTGCAAGTCACCATCCAAAAGAAGAAATATGGAAGGGGGTTTTGTTACAAGCAAGGTTCTGAAAAGCGGTTGTGGTCACCGTAACGGTGGCGGTGGCGCGGTTGCGGTTGCGGAGTGTAAAGGTCGTAGCGTAACGGTTGCGGTAACCGGAATCGTGAATTTTTTTATTTTTCGCACAATTTAAAAAAAACTTACCAATACGCATATTTTTTTTTCTATGATCATATTTATTAGGTTTAAAATAAATATTGATTAATTTTTGTTAATTTTTAAGTATGATCCAATATATTTCATATTTTTAAATCACTATAAACTAAGTTTTTTATATTTTATTTTAATAATTAATGACTTTATATTATACAAAAAATCAATCACTAACTATTATATATAAGATAAATAATGACAAAAGTAAAACAATAAATAAGAGTCTAAATATATATATACACACATTTTAATCAAGCCAAATAGATAATGACCACATTTATTATTATTATTATTATTATTATTATTATTATTATTATTATTATTATTATTATTAAACAATATATAGATAGACACACACAAACAAAATAGTTGAGTGATAGCAGCTGAATAGAATAGTATAGGTTTTACAGTTTCAACCAAGGTTTTAAAAAGCAGCCGCAACCGTTACGTAACGCCGTTATGTAACGGTTTTGATAGTTACCGCCACCCGTTACGGCTGCTTTTGCAGTGTGATTAAGATTCAGAGGTGTGTTAGCCGTAGCGATCATAACGGTGCCGTAACGGCCTGTTACGCACCGTTATATAACAGTTCCAAACTGTTTCTTTCAAAAAAACACACAAAAAAAAGTTTAAAATGGGGGAAGAGGGAAGATAAAGAGAGAAGATGGAGGAGTAAGAGATAGAGAGAGAGAAGAGGAAAGATGAAGAACATGTTATTGATTTGTTGAAACTGTAAGGCCTATACTATTCTATTCAGCTGCTATCACTCAATTATTTTGTTTGTGTGTGTCTATCTATATATTGTTTGAAAATAATAATAATAATAATAATAATTTTGTTTGTGTGTGTCTATCTATATAGTGTTTGATAATAATAATAATAAGTGTGGTCTTTATTTATTTGGCTTGCTTAAAATATGTATATATATAGGCTCTTATTTATTCTTTTACTTTTTCCGTTGTTTATCTTGTATATAATAGTTAGTGATTGATTTTTTGTATAATATAAAGTCATTAATTATTAAAATAAAATGTAAAAAACTCAGTTTATAGTGATTTAAAAATATGAAATATATTGGATCATACTTGAAAATTTACAAAAAATTGATCAATATTTATTTCAAACCCAATAAATAGGATCATAGAGAAAAAAAATATGCGTATCGGTAAGTTTTTTTTAAATTGTGCGAAAAATAAAAAAATTCACGATTTTGATTACCGCAACCGTAACACCACGGCCTTTACACCCCGCAACCGCAACCGCGCCACCACCACTGTTACGGTGACCACAACCGCTTTTCAGAACCTTGGTTTCAACAAATCAATAACATGTTCTTCATCTTTCCTCTTCTCTCTCTCTATCTCTTGCTCCTCCATCTTCTCTCTTTATCTTCCCTCTTCTCTCTATCACTCTTCCCCATTTTTCAGCTTTTTTTTGTGTGTTTTTTTTAAAGAAACAGTTTGGAACCGTTACATAACGGTGCGTAACAGGCCGTTACGGTTGTTACGGCACCGTTATGACCGCTACGGCTGACACACCTGTGAATTTCAATCACACTGTAAAAGCGGTCGTAACGGGTGGCGGTAACTACCAAAACCGTTACATAACGGGGTTACGTAACGGTTGCGGCTGCTTTTTAAAACCTTGGTTACAAGTCATCCTGGTCATCTTCAAATTGAGAAGGCAAAGAAGATGCTAAAGGTAAAAAACTGAGATGTATCCTACCCAAAAAAAAACAAACACTTTGTTAACCTTATTGTTTGGCACTAAGTGATGATTAATCAGATAATAACAGTTTGGTGAAGATGAAAAAGGAGAAGGAGAAGAAAAAGATAAAGATATTTCTCATTTGGGAATTGACTATTTTAGTTGGCTTTTTGGATTTTTTATGAAAAAATATATAAAAAATGAGAGAGAATCATGATTCCCAAACAATATTAACATAGTTGTTCATTTAGTTTAGTTGACATTGGGTAACTTAAGAAGAAGACAGTGTGATGTCCATCTTTCAATTCATGCAGATTTTGTGCTTTGCTTTTGTGTTCATAAGTGGAGTTTGATTTTGTTCACACATTATCGAAGTGTGTGAATAAAACAAAAGGGTAAATCAATAAATCTATAATTTTGAGTGGTGTTAATATATTTTTTGAATGTGGGATTTGCAGTTTTAGATTAATAAAATTTTGTGTTTTGTTCACATAATCACAATGTGAAAAAAAAAATTATTTTCTCATGTGTGGACATGGATTGTTTGAAAAAAAAAAAAAATTGAATATTTCTAAAATTTATCTAAATGCATATGCTTTCACTGTTTTTCTTTTTTTTCTTAATATATTTTCTTACTAAAAGGAGAAATTGAGTTCTGGATGGTCAAACATGTACATTGTTATTAACATTCTTTTTTTTTTTAAAACTGTTATGCAATTTGAAATGTAAAATTATTAGGTAGTTTGAAAATCATATGATATTGTTTTTGTTTGTAACAACATTGGTTGAGTTTCCATTTCCGGGTGGTTTATATGCCCTATATGGGCCCGTTATAGACATCATATTATTGTATGTGGTTCTTGAGCAGGTTAGTGTGTTTCTTGTGCTGGTTTGCTGGTTTGTTGTTTGAACAGGTGCTGGTGCTGGTACTGGTTTGCTGTTGTGCTGCTGGAGCCGGTGTGTTTTGCTGATATACTGATAGCATGCTGTAGTGCTCCTGTGCCGTGCGCTGTTGTACTGTTGTGCTGCTGTGCTGCTGGCCTGCTGCAGGGCTAATGTCCTGCTGTAATGCTGCTGTGTGCTGTTGTGTTGCTATGCATTTGTGGCTGCTGAAGCAATGCAAGAACTGTGCTTTGGTTTGAACGTGGCTGACCATGACAACGAAGACACTAATCAAGGTACCAAAAATATGTGTGAAGGTTCTTCCAGAAGAGAAGAACAAAATAGGTCATGGTCTAAGAAATATTCATGTCTAGGAAGAGATCAAGTTTGTCTAGTTCTAGAGTTTTAACAAGAAATTCAAAGCAAACTAAGATTATTGGTACCAAATTGAGTAGTGAACCAACACTTTCATCATTGATGGCCCATAAACCCATGTATTCTAATATCTAGTTGAAGAAAGAAAAATTAGTTGAAGTAAGGCAGATAAATGTTGTGTTTCTTATGCATAATATCAGTTGGCTGATTTCTTATGATGACTCAGTAATGATGTACACAGACTTGGCACACGTGAGGAATCCAAGAGTGTACAAGTATCAGTTTTAACATGTCAAGTTAATTAGATGTACAAAATTGACATATGCATGATTAAAATGTTACATTATATTTTGCCCATTTATTGCAATAGGTAACAAATTGAAGGACAAGAACTTTAGTGAGTTACAGTTTCTACAAAGTACATTGTCGTTTATTGATACCGTTCCACTTGAGACCCAAGTCATGAGTCTTGTGGGTGAAACTCAAGTATTGGATAATCATTACGATGCTGAGAACATGGACACCCAGTTGCTACATGAGTGTGATGATGAAGTTGTTTGAGACCCAAGTCATGAGTCTTGTGGGTGAAACTCAAGTATTGGATAATCATTACGATGCTGAGAACATGGACACCCAGTTGTTACATGAGTGTGATGATGAAGTTGTTGATACCGATGACGGAGGAACAACCAGAACAGAAGTTTTGGGTGATACTGAAGAGTTATCTAATGATGATTCTGTAAACATAGTTGGCAGTTATCCAATGAACCAGGAGAATAAGCTATATACCATTATTTCAAAACAAGACGATAAGGGTTGTGAAGCAGAATTAGATGGGTTGATTAATGAACAACGCAGTACAGGTCCGTCTTTTTTCTTAGTAAATGACAATTATTGTTGTTCTTACTAATTTCGTTTCACATGATCACATCTCAATTACCTATCATTATTCTTTATCTATTTGCTTAAATTTTCTAAATCTATTAGTCAAGCAGATGAAACTTTCATAAAAGTTATTATGATTTTGTGCATTAACTGAGGAAATCTGTTTTAGCTGGATCAATAACAAAAGAAGTATAGGTTTTCATTTCCAAATTTTATTTTATTTTTTCCAATTTCTTATTGAAAAAAATTAAATCATTACTCAATGCTGGTAGCTAATTACCTTTGACCCGAATGCTGGTAGAATGTGGAATGACTTCTTTTGTTCTTTTAGAAGCTTTGAATTCTGAAGGTCAAGTGATGCACGTGACTTAACTGTTATGTAAGTCTGGAATTGTAATTATTACTTATTGACACAGGATCCGTCAGAAGGAATTTCACTATAGTCCGCACAGCAGCTTTACAGGCCTCTGGTTTAGCAGCTCGTAGCATGGCTTTTAAGGGAACCAACAATGAACCATGTTCCATTAAGGGTGATGATCAGTCTTGAAAACAACATACCACTAAGGGTAATGGGATAACTGATATCGGAGATTCATTGGCATTTGGAAAGGAAATTGATGAGGATTTTTCCAAGGGAGTACAATGAGGAAATGAAGGGATTAAAGAATCAAAACAAGTGCAGGGTTGGTAGTTCAACAGTGAGGAGACTTTTTTGCGGATGATACACGTGCTGAGATTGAAGGACTGAATAACTACACAAATAATGTTCTTCCATTTCTGTAGCAGTTTGTTATTTTTCTGTTTTTGGGTGCATGCCTCCGTCTGTTTTGGATGCTGGCTGTTAGTTGTATCTTGCAGTTTGTTCTATTAGTCGTGTTTATTTTGTTAGTTTCTTTTTGGTTTGGTGGGAAGTGTTGTTTAGTTGTTAGGCTCTGGTGCCTTATTTAGCTTTTGTTTTCTTGTGTTTTGTTGTTGATAGCTCTGCTATGCCTGAGGGACGCCTCTTGTAAATCTATAAATCTTATAAAAAAAAATATAAATGATTTTCCATTATTTTTGTCGATGTAAATTTGTCGTTGCCAAAAAGTAAAGCTTTCTCGACAAACAACTTGTCGGTAAATGTGTTATCAAAAGTTTACTTTTGCCGACTCATATTGTGTTGCTAGAAGTGTATTTTTTGTCAATGCAAATTTATCGTTGCTAAAAGTAAAGCTTTATCGACAAACAAATCGTCGACAAATGGCAACATTTACTGATGTAAATGTGTCGCCAAAAGTTTACTTTTGCCGACTCATTTTGTTGCAAAAACTATATTTTTTGCCGATGCAAATTTGTGTCAGGAAAAGTGCTATACAATCATCATATTTGAACTACTTTTACCGACGCAATGTAAATTGCCGACAATGGATGAAAATTTTTAACGACGACTATGTTTGTCGCTAGGCATTACTTTAACCAACGCAATGATAATTTTGTCAGCAAAAAGTTTTGCCGACTCACTTTTACCTAGGTGTTGCTGACGTAACTTTGTGTGTCAGTGAAACTTTTTTCCGACAAGTTTTTCCTTTTAGCAACATATTTTGTTGCGTTGTGAAAAATGCAATTTCTTGTAGTGATACATCTGCCAAGTTCTCTAAGTGCCAACTGGAAGGTACTGGTACCCCACATTCTCAGCTCAACCAATTCTCTAGATGTTAGCTGGAAGGTAATGGCATCCCTTATTCTTAGCGCATACACATTTCCGACCACCACATAACTCACAAATATAATTAACCTGAGTGTACTACATACACAAAATCTATTCAATATTACACTGTCATCCTCCACCAATGACTAAGCACAAAACCTATAAGCAAAATATATAAATACACATAATACGATAAGCCGATACTTACCTGACCTTAAGTCCAACAATAATGATAATAATAACAATATTCAATGGTTTCAAAACCCAACCTCAAGTTTATGTCTGAATTTACAACACGTCATAGTTTCTTTCTTTTGTTTCCTTCTTTTAAAAAATCGACCCTTTTATTTTCCAAATTTACATGCCTAGGTCCTTTTTCTTTCCAAAAATCAATTTTCACATTTCAATAAAACCTCATTCATGAATTCCAAGCCATATTCCAGCTTAACTCAATATGATTATTCGAATAAGTCCCAATACTAAAATTAATTCCCCCCTCCCTCCCTTTATGTTAACAACACAATAACACAACTCAAATGATCAAAACACAAACATTATTCAATTTTACCCTTTTTAATTCATTAGGTCAAATATGAAATTAGGGCTTCTTCTCCTTTGCAACAATATAAACAAGTTAAGCTTCCCTCCAATTAACCCAAACCACAATCAATTGCCCGATTTCTACTCCAAGCATTCAAACCCAAGATCTCCTTATATGATTTTAGAAGAAGTCCATAACGGACATGATTTTTATGCAATGAACATCTACCACATGTCTATCTATAGGCGAAGTATTAAAAAGGAGCAAAAGAATCTCTACCTCAAGCAATGAAGAGAAGAAAGCCTGAAAATCCAACTTCAACGAAAACACGATCTGCTCAGATTAAATGGAAGCTCTCACGAGCTCTACATTTTTGTATAAGGAACTAGGGGTCAAAGATGTATAAAAGTATATGAAAACTAGGTAGAAAGAGCTTGAAAGCTCAACAATGGCAGAACGAGAGAGAGAGAGAGAGAGAGAGAGAGAGAGAAGTGATCCAGATGTGACCAAAAGTGACTTTTATAGTTGCTGAATTCGAATAGACTGCTCGAGCGCATGAAGTGTCACTCAAGCGTACAGACACAACAAGGTGTGACTGCTCGAGCATAGGAATTACAGCTCAAGTGAAGAATGCACCCTCCTAGTACTTTTGCAGACCTGCAAAAATACTGAGAGTTTTCAAACACTGCTCAAGCACAAGAAGCTTCGCTCTAGTCACTACAAGAAAACACATTTTTGGCGACCATTTTTGGCTACCAAAACAAATTTAGTCGCCAAAAGTGTGGGAATTGGCTACCGAAATTAATTTTAGTCAGCAAAAGTGAACTTTTTAGCTACTAATTTTTTTTAGTAGGGGAATGTTGATTATTGGCGACTAAAATAAATTTTGTAGCTAAAAATATTACAATTGGCCACTAAAAAAATTTTTAGTAGCTAAACATATCACAATTGGCGACTTAAATAAATTTTAGTAGCCGTAGAGGCACCTTTAGCTACTAAATTGTTTGGTAGCCGAATGAAAATAAAAAAATTTATTTTCGATCTTTGGCGACCAAAATTTTGGTCGCCAAAAATATATTTTCAGCGACAAAATAACTTTTAGTCGCTGTAGACCTACTTTTGGCTACTAAATTGTTTGGTAGCCGAATGAAAATAAAAAATTTTATTTTTGATCTTTGGCAACCAAAATTTTGGTCGCCAAAAATGATTAAACAAAATACTTATTTTATTTTATTAACAACAATACCATTAGTGAAAATTTGACTAAACAAAATAGTTATTTTATTTTTATTTTTATGAAAAGGTTGTCAAATCTTGAATTTTTCGTATAGAGATTGTCAAATCTTAAATTTCTTTTTGTTTTGCAAATATGAAAAGATTAACAACAATGACATTTTATGTCTCCACTTGAAATTTGACTTTCTTTTTTTTTTAAATGAGAAAAATAAAATTGAAAGAAGCTTCTTTTTTAAAAATAAAAATAAAAATAAAAATAAAAATAAAAATAAAAATGAAAATGAAACATGCTTAGTAATTAAATAAAAATGAATTCCCATTAGTAGTAGGTATATTAATAAAACAATCAGATTTATTGAATTAAGTGGTAAAAGCCAATTGGCTTTATTAGGCTATACTAGAATCCAAATGGTTTATCATCTTCTAAAATTAATTTAAGGTTTACTTTGTTACTAAGATAAAATCTTGGGTGTATTTTGTGATTAAATATTTAATATAATAAACTAGTTACAACTGAATAATAAATTAATCAAATCCACTTGACACATGATTTCTTCATCTGTCTTTATCTGTGACAAAATATACATATTGCATGTTCTAAAATTCTAAATCAAATTGATTATTGTCCTAGGAGTCCCAAAAAAAAATTAACTATATTTTACAGTATAAGAATATAAGAAAATATAAGAAAAATTTTAAAATATAAGAATATAAGCAAATATAAGAATATAAGAATATAAAATATAAGAATATAATATTTTAAAATATATTCTTATAAAATTTTAAAATATATAAGAATATATTATTATTTGTCAGAAAATTTTAAAATATAAGAATATAAGAAAATATAAGAATATAAAATATAAGAATATAAAATTTTAAAATATATTATTATATTTTTCAGTACAAAAAATATTAGGACAAATATTTAAGATAATTTAATTTTTGCCTTTTTTTTAATTTATAATTTTATTACTTATATTTTTATTTAAATATAATTTTAATATATTTGTTACTTTTATTTTAATTTTTTAAATTGTTGTTATTTTACATTTACCGACTAAATATTAGTCGGCCATTGTAATTACAAAATTTAAAAATTTTGCTTCATATCGGAGGGAAATTTCGGAGGGAACTTTATTACTTCTTTATTTTCGCTCTCTTTCTCACTCTCTCACGCCTCTGCCCTCCTCCAGCTCTCTCTCTCTCGCCTTTGTCTCCGTCGGCGTCAGGTACGGGAGCATCACCGCCATCACGCCTCTGCCCTCCTCCAACTCTCTCTCTCTCAAATAAGCAACAAATATTTACTATTTTTTTGTTAATTTTTATCTTTATTGAATTTTTTTTTGAAATTTTAGAAAAAAATTATAATTTTTCAATTCGTTTTGTCGAATGAAAATGAAAAATAAAAAAATTGTTTTTTACCTTTGGCGACCAAAATTTTGCTAGCCAAAAGTTTGTTTTCAGCGACAAAATTAAATTTTAGTCGCCAAAGAAGTAAATGTTTTGGAGTGAGACATTTCAAATATTTAGAAGGAATTATAAAATACCTTTACCAACAAACAGTTACATAAAATATCTCACACTCTCACCAAACCAAACCCAACCCTGAACCATTAATAGCGCCTCTCTCTCTCTCTCTCTCTCTCTCTCCAGCGTCCTTCTCCCTCTCCCTCTCCCTCTCCATCTCCCTCACCGCCGCTCCTCTCCCCTCCACTCTCACCGCCGCTCCTCCTCGCGTTGGCCGGCAACCGGAGCACCGATTCACCTCCTTGTTGGTCACCGTCACCTGAGATCCTCTCTCTCCCTCTCGGCTCTGTTTTTGTTCGATTGTTGTCGCCTGAGATGACTACCCGGGCTTATGTCTCCAGTTTTCAGCTGATGGTTCCCTCTTTGTTGCAGGGTTTCAAGTACTACTTTCTTGTTTTGGAATTAGGTCTGAGAAATTTAAAATTTGACAGCTCTTTAATGTGCATGTTAAGTCTGTTCTGATTGTTCTCTTAGGAGAAGGAAAAATGTAAAGTTTGATTCAGATTTAGTTATTTATTTATTTGTTCTTTCTCAATACAGGGAAGCAACATTAGAATATATAACGTGGATAAAGGGTGGAAAGTTCAAAAAAACATTCTTGCCAAAAGTTTGCGATGGACAATTACGATACATCCCTTTCCCCAGATCAACGCTATTTGGTGAGTTCTTTTGCTTTTGTGTCAACTGAAATATGCATGTGAAGATGCAAACTATGATTGGAAATTTGTGTTCATCAAGACATGCAGGTATGTTGTGGCATTTCTTTGTATTATTCACTCTCATGCATTTCCCTCTCCCAGTTATATCTATGATGTTAAAAGGTGCTCCCTTATTTGGAAGAACTGTTTGGAAGATACTGCAATTGGTTAATTGAGATCCTTACAGTATCATTTGTAGCATATTCAAAATTACATTATGTTTGGTTTTTGCTCCCTCTCTCTCTCTGACTCTAAAGAAATCTCATTCTCTGTCAATTTGGCTATCATTTTTACAGGTTTATGCCAGCATGTCACCTATTGTCCATATTGTTAATGTTGGATCCGCAGCAACAGAATCTCATGCA